TCAGATCTGAAACACGGCAGAACTGATTCTTCGGCTGTTGCCGATCATTGCTACAGCTCTGTGGGCTCTCATGAAATTGTCTTTTCCGAGACCAAGGTGCTCTGCAAACCTACTGGTTTGTACACGAAGCCATACAAATATACAAACACAGACATAATTTCAACCGTGATGAGGGTTACAAACTGAGTAATCATTGGAAAGATGTGATTAACCATGCAAAAAAGATGTAACTACACTTATTTGGACCATCTTATTTGACAGACAACTATTAAAGGTCATTGATAGACAGCCAGTTTGTTGTTTTACCAGTTTTAGTTTTTTACTTGCTTTTCTTTTTTCACACTTTTGTCATGTTTGCCATGTGTTAGTTACAAACCGCACCTCTCCATAACAAAGGCTCAGTCCTTTGTTATGCAGTCTACTCTTGGTCTTAAGCCTCACCTTACCATATTAATAAAAAAGTGTGCCGTTCCTGGCCCTTCCCCCCTCAACCATTATATATACGGGGTAGTATTTCTTGTGATCTCTCATTTACTTGATACAGCTGTCGTGGCTGTGACGGTTCCACCTGAAGACGGAGGCTTGTGTTGCTTCCGAAACGTCGTGAATTTTTAAATTTGTTTTATTGTACTTTTATTGATTAAAATTTTTTTACCTACGTGACTTTACCGAAAAAACCCAAGAGTATGGATTGTGTAAGCTCACAGATCCTTGAAAGATCTGGACACAGTCCCATCAGTGAGCTCCATCGGCAGCCAAGACTGCGTTGGTTGGGTCACGTAGCCTACTTGCCCAGCCACCGCATGCCCAAGCAGCTTCTATTTGGCCAGATAGAGGGGGCTAAATAGCCACAGCACGGGTTAGAGAAGAGGTGGGTGCGATGTGGTACTGGAGGATGTGGAGCTGATTCAACTTGCCAATGACTGGTGTCAATTATTCTTTGGTTCTTTCGGTTAAGTCACGTATAAAGATAAAATAATAAATTAAATAATAGCATACTACGACGTTTCGATTGCAACACAAGCAATCATCATCAGGTATAAAAGAAATAGTAACAAAAATCTAACCAGAAAACTATAGACAGACACACAAGCAGACAGACATCACACAGACACACAGAGAGAGAACACGTATCGGCGGAAAGAGAGAGGTCGTTTCTGTGACGAGGCCTTAAATATAGAGAGGGGGGCGGGGGCGGAGAGAGGGAGGGGGCAGAGAAAAAATTAGCATGTCAATGAGTGGACGAAAGCTCCAAAATTGAGATTGACTGGTGTCAACATTGACATCTTTGGAGGAGGCTCACAAAGAATGCTGCTGGGCAGTTTGCCGTACTCCAACAGCAACCAAGGTCAGAGGAGCGATGCTCAGAACGAGTAGAATGCAAGTTGACACAGTGGGGAGTACAGATGGTGCATCTGCCAAGTCACCTCGGTCACCCCATAATACCAGCGTTTGTTCCTTGCCCTCCTGCCAGTAAGGCTTTCACAATTCACGTGGCCTCAAAATAGACCCAGCCTCAATCAAGCGCTGTGATAACGTGACCACCACTTAGTGGTGCATGGCATTTGCTGTTGTAAATGTATGCGCTACACTCTGTTATGTATGGGTTTCCTCCGGGTTCTCCGGTTTCCTCGCATCACTGCAAAGTAAAAACTCAATGGAACTGGTATTGGCAAAAAAATATTCCAATGCTGAAATATCACCAGCATATTATTCAACTGGGTTTAGACATAGCAACATCGTCCCCTATTAAAAGGTGTAATAACATATACAAGCAGTACTCATTCCATCCGCCTTTTGGATTTACAGACCAATATGACCAAGCAGCATGGACCGGATTCAACTTTCTGGGTATCATTGGCAGTCAGGATTCACCAGATGTTATTGGCAAGAGCACTATAGATAACTATTCATGAAAAAAATCAATGCGGAAAATAAGTATGCGTTGTGTTGATGTGATGATCAGCACCCTGGACTCCAGCACGTTGCAGATTCTGTTTCCTAGCATGGCAGTTGAAGTAATGGGCGCGTTTCTTAAATCCCTGCAGGCCCCAGAGCGATACATCCGGTGACGACCTAGAGGAGGCCTTCGTCCAGCAGCCTCTAAATTACTCACTATTTTATTCCCAAATAATTAATATAATTACGCTTGTTAATTCAACTGTTTTATTTGACCAGGTAAGGTCCACTGAGCTGTGCAGCAATTTTTCAGAGGCGACCTGGCAATCACAAATTACAGCTCTACGAAGTGGCTTATCATCACGTGGAAATGTATAGCAGCCATTTGGCTGCTATACATTCTCTAAACGCACGTTGATTCTAAATGTAGAAAATAAAAACCGAAGTAACCGGAGAAAAATCCACGATACCACGGGGAGAACATGCAAACTCTAAATATACAGCAGCAGGCATCAGGGTCGAATTCGAACCCACACCCTCCTGCATACCATAAAAGCCTTGCAGAGTCTCAAGACTTTCAGGAGGCTCCTGCCACGTACGCATGTCAGAGTAGGGGGGCAATGCTGATGTCATCCTCCCAATTGAGTAATTTTCAGGTAATCTTTCGGCACTGGGATGTTTGGCCAAACACCAGTAACAATACATTATTTACTTTTCAATATTTGCATGAGAGGAAACCAGAGCTCGGAGGAAACCCATATAAACAAGGAGGAAAACATTCAATCTCCACACAGCAAGGAAGAAAATCCAAGCCCCTTCTTGGCGCCACGGTGGCGAGGCGATGTTAACTACCTCGCCTAGCATACAGGAGATCGTGGGTTTAATCCCAACCCTGACGCCTGTATATTTGGAGGTTGCATGTCTCTCTGCCCGTGGTCGCGTGGATTTGTGTCCAGGTCCTCCGGTTTTTCCCTCCACAGTTGAAAACATGCATTTAAGAGTATTCGGCTGATATAAATTTCCACGAGATAAGCCACTTCGTTGAGCTATCATTTGTGATAGCCAGGTCCTTGCCTGGTAAAAGAAAAGAAAAATTGTTTAGTTTTTTAGTTAACACTCCACAGCCACCCTGCTGCCCACTGGGAACCTAGTTCAGTGTGAACATCGGCACTGGGGAGACAAAGGCAAGCTGGGCATGGTGAATTGTGCCAACCTTAATAGGTGCTCGCTAATGGTACTTCATCGCCATATATATAAAAGGCAAAGTTGTGATTATGTGTCTGTTCAAAATGTTTGGCGTACTTCCCGACATGCAACAAACTTGAAATTTACCATGTGTGTACTTTCCAGACTGTACACCATGCAAAATTTATAAAAACACTTATTTTTTTGGGGGGGAGCTCAATAATGCATATATTTTTTTCACGGCAAGTGAGCTGTGACGTAAAATCTGTCATGTGACCCACGCATGTGGAAGCGTAACGCATTGTAGTGTAGTGATTAGCACGCTGCGCTACGAACCCGGCAACCCGAGTTCGATTCCTGCTCACGGCCACCACCGGTGACGATTATTATAACCAGTCCTGGGCCTCCCCTAGGTCGACTCAGCCTCAAACGAGTAACTGGTCTGCTGTGTGAACATCGCCACTGTGGGGACAAAGGCGGCCGGGCGTGGTGAATCCAAGTCCCGGGCAAAGCCGGGTAGTAAAGCTAGATTAATAATAAAGGCAAATTCTGTTCAAACACGGGTGTGTAAACTAACAGAGGAGCGTTGTTCTCCAAGTCGGTATAATTTTTTTTATCAAGGCTCGTGCGAGGCATTCGTTACAAGCCCTGGCACCAATGGCATGTCGGGGAGACGCTCCCAAAAGCCCCGGGTGGTGCTGGAACGCAGCAGAATCATCATTCCGCAATGCCAACGTCGGCGGTTGTCTGTGGTGATTGTGTCGGTGAAGCGGGTGATGGTAGCGAGCACTGACCCTACTAATATTGAACCCTAAGACATGCACTTGACCCATCTACTCTACTTAAACGGGAACGAGAGGCTTACTTTGGATCCATCGGCTATCACCAGTCCCAACAGATTAACATTGGAACTAAAGACTTGTGCTCCGAACCCATAGGTGAATATTAGACCCCTTACACTTAACACCAGACCCATAAACTAACGTTAAATTCGGAAGCGTACTTATTTTAACCTTTAGGGTCTCATCAGCAGTTACGGTTGTTTGGCAATATTTACCATATTTCTTTGGAAAGAAGTGTACCAAATTTGTCCCCGGTGTCAATAACATTGTACAAATCCGGTCACTTGCACACTCGCCTGCCGGATTATAAGGCACGCATATCCGTAAAACTGTGCTTAAACTATTTATAATTATTCCAACTTGGCTTACTTAGGCTGGAAAGCCTGACCAGTCCCAACTCTTTCTCTTAAGGGTCCTACGTTTTTGGTGGGTGGGGCACAATGCTGCTGTGTGTAATCCCAATTGAGTAATTTGCAGGTACATTTTCAGCACTGGAGGTTTGTTACATTGTGTGTTTCTTAGCTATGGTAGAACACTCAACAATCCAGAGGAAACCCATACATAGAACAGGTGGGAAGAAAAAAACTTGCAAACGCTGAGCAAAAAAGGCACCCGAGTCAGGAATCGAACCCAGGCGCCTTTTTTCTCGTTTAACACGTCGTAGGCTTTCGTGACCATTATTATCCATAAGAAGTTTTTTTGGGTTCAATCGCGTAAATATAAATGTCGTTAATCTCACCACCACCACAGCCAATTAGTAAGGTCTGTCACGTAAACAAAACGTGCCAATTTGTTACTAGTTCGGTTGTGTGTTGGAGAGTAAATTAATTACAACATTGCCATGCGAGTATCGTGACGTTTCACAGGTAATTACAACAACCGGCCTCATCAGGCGACAGCCAGAGTTGTGGAGAAATCCTCCTCCTGTTTCAGATCTTAAATACCACTGCACCACCCTGCCACCCATATACAGGGGGAAATAAGCATCTTGTAATCAATCCGGAGATTACGAAATATAATTTAAAAAAATTCCCCGAACGCAATCTTTTCACTCAATAGAAGACATCCTCGGTCTGTGTTTAACATTTTTTATTTTTATTTAAGAGCACAGCGATTTAAAAAAAAAATCGGGCTGAGACAGCAAGTGATGGAATAAACTCTGTTCAAAGAACGAGAACTTCTTTTTAAATGGGCACAAACAAACATTAACCCAGGCTTCCATTTTCCAAATTCGCAAATAATATACAGTAATCCCTCGCCACTTCGCGGTTCAAGTTATGCGACCTCAGTGCATCGCGGATTTTTCGAACTGATTTAAAGGCCTCATTATACCTGTGCAGTAACACCATCATCATCATCATTCATCATCACATTCATCGAACTGCACAGGTCTGTCATCGTCGTCATTGTCATCGTCATTGTCATCGTCGTCGTCGTCATTACTGGAGTCAAGTCTCAAGATACTACTGTCATTGGTGAGTGTAGAACACCATAATACGTATCGTATGAGAGAGAGTGAATGTATAATATTAAGGTTTTATAATTAAATAGATTTAAGTCAAATATATATATAAAGTATAAATATACATATTTTAAACATTCTGGTACCCACACACACATATACGTAAATTCCTAGGGGGCCAATCTTACTTCGCGGATTTTCACCTATCGCGAGGGGTTCCGGTCCCCATTAACCGCGATAAACGAGGGATCACTGTAAAGCAATTGTCTAGATTGTCAGAGTCAAAAAAGTTTTCTTTGCTGGTTCAAATGCCTAATTTAAGTTGATGCTTTTCACAAACGTCTTCTCTTCCAACAGGCAAATGCTAATGCTTGTTACGCAATTACAAATGCATTTTTTGATGCCGAGTGCCATTTTCCAAAACCAAACCTGGCACAGTTCATTTGACTGCTAAGTTTACCACGCCAGGTATTGCTAAGAGAATTTCAAGGTGGAGCTGAAGTTGAAATGAGACGTGGAATTTGTCGGCGGAAATTAAATCCTGGGTGAATCTCGAAAAACACCAAAAAAAATGGAATGGAGTCGGTTTCTCTGTCGATGGATTGGACACGCAGGCAACCAACGATCTCTCATACAGTGGGGACCACTCACCGTGCAACACTAAGCCCTCTAAATCTTCCCGTGGGCAGCAGCCTCATTAGAACTGAGGGGGGGGGGGGGGATTTGAAGGCGCTGAGTGAGAGGGAAGAATGAAATGACCATGTGGCAAAGCAGCCTCTTCTGTAACACTGGATTTTTTTGGCGGGTTTTGAGAAAAATAAATTATGAATGATTATACGGTTGTGGGAGTTTCATGTTACAGGCTCTGCCCAATCATCAGTAGGGTGAGAGGGATGGAGGCGCACTGGGGCTGCGGGGGACATGCATGACCCCAGTTTTCGAGTTAGGGCTACATTATAAAAGTCGGGGCTTTAGATGGTTGGTTGGGTCACCTCATCGGCTGGATGCGAATGACAGCTCGTCAGTATCCTGACAGAATCCCCTAAGTGGTCAAGGTGTCTATGTATTGGGCAGTCGTTTATTAAAACTTGCTTATGCAGGAAAAGCCTCACCGAGTTTCACTTTTAGGGGTGGGTCCTGCCAATTGTTTATAACGGGTGGGGGGTGGGGGGTGATTTCTATGTGCAATTCCAATTTAATACAGGCTCTGCCCAACCGGCAATGGAGGATTCCTCCACAAATCTGGCTGTCGCCTGATGATGCCGGTTGTAATTATTGGCAAAACGTCGTACTCAGATTGTAAATGTTGTGGACTTGCTCTACAACACCGGTTAGTGCTGTACTAGTAACGAATTGGCATGTTCTGTTAACATGACAAACCTTACTAATTGGCTGTGTCGGGTGGTGGCGGGTTTAACAACACATTTATATTTACGCGATCGAACCCAAAAAAACTAGTATTATGGATATTGGTCACGAAAGCCTACTACGTGTTAATCTAATTGAATAAGTTGAGGTTAATTGAACCATGACATTGGTCACACAATGGCCTGCTCTTGCTAGCGACGTCACGGGATCTTTAACGTCCACTGCGAAGCAGACGGCGCGTTGACACATTGTTTTTATGATTGTCACATCCGCTGGAAACGAGCAGGGCGGCTGGTGGTTTTTAAACCGTGAACCTCTGCACCAAACGCGCTGCCGGCGGGCCACATCACCACCCAGGGAACCCTGGGTGAGGATGCTCGCCGCTTGGCCTAAGTGAGTGGGGTGTTGCGTGCGACTGGAGCGTGCGTGCGAGTGTGCATCACCACTCTTGTGTGTATGTGGGGATTAAAACCACCTGGGATGTTTCTCTATCAAGTCAAGGCTTTAACAACACAATAATGTGCACTGTGTGCATAATAAGCTCTCAGACTTAACTAATCTATCAGGTGAGCTAGTGGGTGACAGATTCAGTTATTAAGCAGGTGGGTGAGAGTGGGTGATGGTGAATGTACACACACACACACACCTAGTACATATACTAGGTGTGTGTGTGTGTACATATGCCAGCCGTGTGTACGTATGCCAGCCGCGTGTACGTATGCCAGCAGTGCGTACGTATGCTAGGTGTGTGTACGTATGCTAGGTGCGTGTACGTATGCTAGGTGCGTGTACGTATGCTAGGTGCGAGTGCTGGCAGCCATGTGGGTGGTGTTGAGCGCTGGCCTTGGCTGCGTCGTCGCCGTCATCCCTCTCAGGCGGCCTCCTCCTCGCCCTCCTCCTCGAACTCTCCCTCCTCCTCGGCCGTGGCGTCCTGGTATTGCTGGTACTCGGAGACAAGGTCGTTCATGTTGCTCTCCGCCTCGGTGAACTCCATCTCGTCCATGCCCTCGCCCGTGTACCAGTGCAGGAAGGCCTTGCGGCGGAACATGGCCGTGAACTGCTCGGAGATTCGCTTGAACAGCTCCTGCACACGCAAAGGGGGAGGGGGGGGGGGGCGCAGGGATACATGGGGATACAGGAGACACGGGGAGAGACATTAAGACAGTCAGACACAGTGAGGCATGGCGATACACCTCAAGGAAGCCTTACAAGATGGATTTTCAGGAGGGCCCTGCCAAGTTTTTGCAGTAGGAGGCGATGTCACGATTTATTCATTTACAGGTAATATTTCAGCACTGGGATGTTTGGCCGATACCAGTTACATTGCATTTTTTTTTTAATATGGGTCAAAAATAGATGAACCAAAAGGAAACGCGTGCAAAACAGTGGGAGAATGTTGTCCCATACTGGAATCAAACCCAACAGTGACAACACTACACCACCCTGTTACCCTCCCCTTCTCTACTCTCCCTTGCTGCTCTCCTCTCCCCCCCCCTGGTCCCCCCCCTCGTCATCCTCCCTCGTCCCCCCACCTCGTCCCCCCACCTCGTCCCCCCACCTCGTCCCCCTCCTCCCCGCCTTCTCACCTGGATGGCCGTGCTGTTGCCGATGAAGGTGGCGGACATCTTGAGGCCCCGGGGTGGGATGTCGCACACGGCCGTCTTCACGTTGTTGGGGATCCACTCGACGAAATAGCTGCTGTTCTTGTTCTGCACGTTCAGCATCTGCTCGTCCACCTCCTTCATGGACATGCGGCCGCGGAAGATGGCGGCCACCGTAAGGTAGCGGCCGTGCCGCGGGTCGCACGCCGCCATCATGTTTTTGGCGTCGAACATCTGCTGGGTGAGCTCGGGCACGGTGAGCGCGCGGTACTGCTGCGAGCCGCGGCTGGTGAGCGGCGCGAAGCCCGGCATGAAGAAGTGCAGGCGTGGGAAGGGCACCATGTTGACGGCGAGCTTGCGCAGGTCGGCGTTGAGCTGGCCCGGGAAGCGCAGGCAGGTGGTGACACCGCTCATGGTGGCCGACACCAGGTGGTTGAGGTCACCGTACGTGGGCGTCGTGAGTTTGAGGGTGCGGAAGCAGATGTCGTAGAGCGCCTCGTTGTCGATGCAGTACGTCTCGTCCGTGTTCTCCACCAGCTGGTGCACCGACAGTGTCGCGTTGTACGGTTCCACCACCGTGTCCGACACCTGCGCGGGGGGAGTAGGAGATTAAGAGGGATGAGCGAGCGGCTTGGTGAGAGTCCGGGTGAGTGGACAAGTCTATGGATGCGGGAGCTCTCGGCCTGGGAGCCATAGGCAGTGTTCGTGCTCGTGTTTAAAGTCGAGCATCAGGGCCACTTCTATAGTCTCCTCATCCTCCATCTACTCCCCTGTTGCCCCTCACCTTGAAAGAACACCACGCTCAACGTGCTCATCATGTGGCCAGGGTGATTACCAGTGTTGTCATCATGGTTAGTACTATAGTACTAGTAATCTCACCTTGGGAGAGGGCACCACACTGAAGGTGTTCATGATGCGGTCGGGGTACTCCTCGCGGATCTTGCTGATGAGCAGGGTGCCCATGCCCGAGCCGGTGCCGCCACCCAGCGAGTGCGTCAGCTGGAAGCCCTGCAGGCAGTCGCAGCTCTCCGCCTCCTTGCGCACCACGTCCAGCACCGAGTCCACCAACTCCGCGCCTTCCGTGTAGTGGCCCTTGGCCCAGTTGTTACCCGCACCGCTCTGGCCTGGGATGGTCAGCGATAACGTATAGGACAGACAAGGTGTCAGTGAAACAAGCAGTCAAGCAGGGAGGGAGCTAAACAGGGAGGCAGAGAGGGATACAGAGACAGGCAGAGACAGACAATATGCAGACATGCAGATAGTTGGGAAGGGTGAGAAAGATGAACAGATGAGAGAGGGTGGATTTCCTGGAGAAATCCGATGAGCCATGAAGCTCTTTTCACAGATGTTCAGGAGGCGTTAGACTAACGATAAGTCCAATATAATATCTACGTCTCAAAGTTTTAGCGTGTGTGATCCTAATTGAGCAATATGTAGGTACATTTTCAGCATTGGGATATTTGGCCAAAGCCATTATCATTGTGTTTTTTTCATATTTTGGTTTTGAAAGATAACCGGACACACACTGAGACAGATACACATTCGTAGAAATACACATGCATACAAAGATCCCCCTATATAGCCGTAAGAGACTGTTGGGGAAATTGCTGGTAGCGAACACACACACACTTATGCACATACACAGACATGCTCACTCACCAAAGACGAAGTTGTCTGGCCTGAAGATCTGTCCGAAGGGGCCGGACCTCACTGAGTCCATCGTCCCAGGCTCAAGATCCACAAGGATGGCGCGAGGCACATACTTTCCCCCTGCACGAGAAAGAGAGACACAAAAACGAAACTATAGACTAAACAATTTTTTATTTTACCAGGTGAGGCCCACTGAGCTATGTAGCTCTTTTTCAGAAGTGACCTGACTGTGGCTTACCCCGTGGAAATTTAGAGTAGCAGCTAAATACTCGAAGCACATGATTCTAAACGTGGAGTGAAAAACTAGAGGACCCGGAGAGAAATCCACGTGACCGTGGCCAGAGAGACACGCAAACTCCAAATAAACAGCAGGTGTCAGGGTCTGGATCGAACTCACGACCTACTGTATACCAGGCGAGGTAGTTAACATCTCGCCACCACGGCACAAGATGGGGTTCTTCTCAACAGTGGCACAACAAGTCGTGGTCTCATATTCCAGCATGATCCATCACCCCCCCCCCCACCTCCGAGCCTGGCTTAAAGTGAAGAATTTTACCGCGGCTATTGCACCTGGTCAATTAGCTGAGTTGTAATTGTTATTATTATTATACTTGTTTACCCAGAAAAGCCACAATGCGTCTCAAAACTATTTTAGGAGGATCCTGCCGAGTAGGGGGCGATGTTGCTGCTGTGTTTAATCCCAATTGATTAATTTGAGAATTAGGACGTTAGGTCAATACCAGTGACATTGTATGGGATCTTTTTGCCTCTGGAGAAAACCAGGGAACCCGGAGCAAACCTACGCAGAACACGGGGAAGACATACAAACTCCATGTAGAAAGGTAACCAAGTCGGGAATGTCTGTATCCTGAACTTATTTTGCACCATACGTAGCAAACGGTGCTAATCGGAGGTGTGGCGTAAGGACAACAAACTAAGCACAAAAAGCTCTAAAGAAATGAGTTTTCAATCGAGTACAGTGGGGTAATGTATAGTACAGTATATCGTAGTGTACAGTGTAGTGTGTGTAGTGTATAGTGTAGTATGTTGAACTTCTTTCGCACTGTACGTACCTAATCATGCTAATTGGGGGTGTGGCGTATAGACCACCAACTAAACCCAAAAAACAGTTTTTAAAGAAATTAGTTTGTCAATCTAGATGATTTAAAAGTGCCATAGCTCCCAGTGGCTTCCTAATATCGGAAGGAAGAGTGGCCGTCACCACTGTACTGCCACCCCTACCATCCTGTACAGTGGAGATTTCAACAGAACCAAGGCCATGGTGAGAGCAGACGGACCGAGCACTAATCCGGATTACAGCCAAGGCACCTGCTGTGCCTTGGCTATGCGTGGAATCTTGTGCCAGTGGCAGGCTGCAGGAGATGATACAGCAAGTAGGCAGCTGACAAGTCTAAAATGTGGGTCTGTAGGAGGGAACTGCAGGGAACATTGCTATGTGAATGCTGTTTACTCAGAAACCTACTTGCTCATAATAGAGGTGGTTGGGTTAGAGCACGTAAACAATTGTTCTCAGTGCCCTAAGAACAATTGTTTAAGGGCACTTTATAAATTACTAGTAGGAAGTACCTGGCGTTGCCCGGGGGAAAATATATATTTAAAACTTCTCAAAACTTAAAAACATAACACATGCAAATGAAAAGAAAACTTTGATCATTACCTCATTAATTTAAATTAAAATAAAACCCAACGCGCGGTGGAAAAAAATACTAACGCTCGCGTGCCAAGATTGGATTCTTTAAATCGCGCAAAGGTATTGAAGGTTGGAGATTTCTTTAGAATCGGCCTATTTCCATATAATCGATACCACAAACGCTCACCAGATATCGATTCTCACCAGTCCTGTATGCGGGTTAACGCCACACACTTCATGGTCATTTACCCCCCTCCCCCCAAAAATACAAAAGTTAATTTTTATACGTTTTGCATTGTGTAGTCTGGAAGCTACCCACATGCCAAATTTCAAGTTTGTTGCATGTCGGGAAGTATGCTGAACATTTCGAATCAGACACACATATTCACAAATTTCCCTTTTACATATATAGATAAATAAGCGCACAACTTTATCGACGATGAACGTTTGAGAGAGAGAACAAGGCGATTCGGTGTTGATTCCCAGAATCTATTCGGTGTTGATTCCCAGAATCGACTTGGCCCCCACCCACACGACTTTGCCATTTGTTTCGCGATGTTTTGCGACGACGACAATTTCCCATTATCCCCACATACGCTATCATATCATACTCTTATATAAGCACGCAACTTTATCTGTGATGAACGCTGCACTCCGTCGTTTTCATGCAGGGGGAGCTGCAAACATACGCGCCCCCTGCATGAACGACGGAGGCACAGGGACAGACGTTCGATTACATTGAAATTGATCTGCAGACGGCGGTATTCTCGCATGGCCAGCTCTGTCGCCTCATCTCGATCCCGTAATTCCAAACAGGTGAAAGTCCACATCGAACCGAACCCCCAGCAAGGCCATCTACTTAACGATGAGAGAAAATTCACACGAAATGTCGTTTTCAATTAAGTATTCCAGATGTAAAATGATAAGCTTTTAATGAAGAAATACAATTATCGAATTCAAAACATAATACAATTCAAAGATGTTTCATTTTAAAACTTCAAAACGCAGCATCAGGTGCTTGCGTGAATGCGTCGTTCAAGTGCAATTTTTTTCGTGACTTTCCTGGCCGAAGGCCGTAAATGGTTATACATGCGTTGTTAAACCCGCCACCACCCAACACAGCCAATTAGTAAGGTTGTCACAAAACCCACAATATTTACCATCGCCTGTAATTACAACCAGCCTCATCAGGCGCCTGAGTTGATGAACTAGTAACTAATTGCATGTTTTGTTTACGTGACAAACCTTACTAATTGGCTGTGACAGGTGATGGCGGGTTTAACGAGACACTTATATTCACGTGATCTAACCTAAAACACCTCTCTTATGGATATTGGTCGCGAAATCCTACGTGTTCAACTAACCTACTTGCTGTACTGCTATATACTGCGGTCAATATGTATTTGCCAGGGCTAAGAAGTCATCCCTCACCTCATGGAAAAACTGCCACTCCCATCTCCCAATGATCCATCAACCACAACCTCCAGATTAAAGATAATACAAGAAAATACAAAGCACAGCTTTGCCAAATGAAGGCTTCCCCCACTCTTGCTGGTGAAGGGGATTGTTTGACCATACTTCACTGTGCCGGTCAGTGTAGGTTGGTTAAAGGTGGAACCCACCATCTCCTGGCCACAATGCAGCCCAGCAGCATGTCTGGGCATGTATGTACTATTATTATTTTGATTATTCAGGAAACCTTGAGCCAGGAAAGCTCAATAACCTTTTTCAAGAGTTTTACAGTAGGAGGCAATTTTTTTTTTGTTTAAGCCCAAATTATTAATTTGTTGGTAAACGTTTGAGCATGAGCATGTTGTGGCCAATAGCAGTTAGACCGTACTGTGTTTTATTTGGTATGCGAGGAAACTGGAGAAACCTGAAGGAATCCATGCAGCACAGGAGAAAACACAAACTCCACAGAGAGGCACCCGAGTCAGGAATCGAACATAGGCGTTTTCTTGCTGCGAGGCACGAGCGTACCACCGCTGCGTGGCACCAGCAGGGTTCATGAAGCGCGATTCATTGCTATCGCTACCGTATGAAGACTCACCCGACGCCTCGTTGTAGTAGACATTGATCCTCTCCAGCTGGAGGTCGCTGTCCCCATGGTACGTGCCCGTGGGGTCAATCCCGTGCTCGTCGCTGATCACCTCCCAGAACTATGCGACAGGGCAGAGGCAAAAGTGGCAACGGGCACCATCAGGAAAGGCACAAAACGCTTTGTATCACGAGTGGCCCATGAGTAAATTTGATATTGGTGCAATCATTCCTGAAAGCGCAACGCTATCACGAAGATATGTGCTCTTGTTTCGCATAGTGCGAGCATGTGGATGTTGAACTTCTTTCGCATCGTACGCAGCCAACCATGCTAATCAGAGGTGTAGGGGAAGGACAACAAACTACACACAGCAACATCGCACAGGCAATGTTACTCTGTGAAATTCCACTTGAGGAATTTTCAGGGAATTTTTCAGCATTGTTTTTTTTTCAGCTATGGGAAGAAACCCATTCAGAGGAGGGGGGAGAACATAAACTCCTCTCATACTCTCTCGCAAACACTCACACATTCACATACCACACACTGTAGTATGGGGGGGGGGGCCGTGCAAACGGAGAAGGAACTCCGCTGCGAGGAGCAAATGCTACCACAGCACTTGCCTGCAGCCCCCTTAAAGGTGAGCGTGGCCACGAGCTCACTGGAGAGCTCCTGCCACACATTTCACCACAAGAGCAGAGCGCTGCCCCCTTCCCACCGCTCCCCCTTTAATCTGAGCTGCAGGATCTAATCACCCCTCAGCAAGTGCCGAGTGGATGTCCTGGAAAAAACGCAGGGTGGCCTGGGGATGGGCGATACGGACAGTGGCTGTGGGTAGTTGCTGCATCCGCTGCAACATGGCCATTTAGCTGCTCATGCGCATTCATCACAATACGCATCTCGTCCTTCATGAATACACTCTGCGCCAACTACTCAGAGGATGACACAGCAACATTGGCCCCTACTGGGAGACAAATGCCCCACTTTTGCATCACCTTATGCCACGTTGTGGCAAGGATTGCCACTCAAGGATTGGCCTACTAAGTCATTCTAGGCGAGGCAAAACCTACAGGTGACCTCGTAAGGCGCAAAAGAAATTCTCTCGAGACACAAAGGCCTATGTGTGTATGCCACGCAGGGATAGCTGTCAGTGGAGGTGTCCTTTCCAGTGTTTGAGATGTGATGCGAGTCGCACGTCGCGGGAAAAGTACTCCGAGATGCCGTGGTGTAAAAAGGGGGCAGCCCTATCAACAACAATTGATGACTGATCCACTGCTGTGTCATCCAGCAGTGCATTAATTTGTTTCCATCCAGGGAAAAGGCCGCCCCAGGGCATGAAAACTCTGCGTCGATGAGATGATGCAATTAACATTGCAATGAAACCAAATCAAACTTTGCTTCTCTTCCTGGTGAGCGTACCACAGGATGATTTATTATAATCCTGCTCACCTACCCAGGAATGATTAACGGGGTCTCAAGTCTTCTTCAGGAGGATCTTGCCATATTCTTCGCAGCAGGGGGGGCGATGTTGCTGCTGTGTGACCCCAAATTACTAATTTGTAGGTAATTTTTTATTTGACGCTTTCGTGACTGCAGGGACCCATACTCTTTGGTTCTTTCGGTAAAGTCACGTAGGTAGAAATTGTTTTACGCGACTTTACCGAAAGAACCAAAGAGTATGTGTTGTCTATATTTATTTAAAGTTGCGCATTTTGATGTGATGTCACATTTCTCAACCCCCCCCCCCTCGTCACACATCGTCACAAATGTCTGACCCCCCCCCAGACGCGTGACGTAATTTATGGACGACCCATATACGAAAAAAAGGATCGTACTGTTACCGAACTGCCTTGCCACCCTTGCCGCTCTGTGACCCAGAGATGGCACCCGGCCCACGGCGGGAAGGCTCGAGGGGAGTAGAGGGGGAGTAGTGGGGGGCTTAGTGGGGGGTGAATGTGAAGTGGGGGGTGGAACGGGGGGCGGAGAGGGAGGAAAGTGGTGGGGGCGAAGCGAGGGGGGGGGGGGTGAAGCAGTGGGATGTAGCGGGGGGGGGGGAGCGGTGAAGGGGAGGGGTGAAGTGGGGGAGGGGGGTGAAGGGGGGGATGAAGGGGGGCTAGGGTGGATGAAGAGGGGGGGGGATGAAGGGGGGGGATGAAGGGGGGGATAAAGGGGGGGGGATAAAGGGGGGGGGGATGAAGGGGGGGGATAAAGGGGGGGGATGAAGGGGGGGGATAAAGGGGGGGGGGATAAAGGGGGGGGGATAAAGGGGGGGGGGATAAAGGGGGGGGGATAAAGGGGGGGGGGATGAAGAGGGGGGGGATTAAGGGGTGGGGGGGATTAAGGGGTGGGGGGGATCTCCCGCCACCGCCCGCGCTCTGCCGCCGCCGTGCTCACTGCAGCACGGGGCCGCATCTCGCTCCCTATTGGCTCGCTGGAATCTGGGCACTGCCAGTCATATTCTTTGGTTCTTTCTGTTAAGTCACGTAGATAAAAAAAACAATTCACGTGATTATTTTTGTTACGATTATTTGTAATTTCGCGTAATTTAATGATAGAAACTTGACCTAGTTTTGGTCGAGTTCGTGTTTTTTTTACGATCTTCATGGACACTTGGGAGGCCGAATTCCGAGACTTAACAAATAATCACTTGACTCATTGGTGTGACTTTCTAAGCAGGTAAAAAGCGAACAAACGCTTCCGATACACCCTGGTCGAAAAAGACCGTGACTTTTATTTTTAGCAGGTGATTAAAATATAAATTCGGTAGCAATGAGCAGTCAACACCAAGCCTTCAATTCGACCCGTTTCCAGATTTTAATTCAGTATTATTCGCTGTTAAATGCTGTACCGGCGTAAACTGTATCGGCTTCATTTGGCAAAATTACGATTCCTCGAGTCGTTGCAATACCGCGTTACTTGCTGGCACTGGATGGTGTTATTTATACCGCTTTGCCATCTATGTCCAGCCTTATGAATCACTTTTCATCTTAGCACGTGCATAATTGCGGTTTTTTTTTTAACACAAATTTACGTGCTGAAAATGTAGTTTATACAATGCGCTTATTGTCAGCGACGTTACACACACGACGCCTCTCGCATCTCAGTTTAATCTCTCGGGTTAAATAAAAGACGTACGGGAGACATTTACGTTCCCTGATAGAGGTTCAGAATGCAAAGCTCCATCCACACTTTTAATTCTCACACAACGAAGCAGCAACAGCGGTATTAATCTGTGCGCAAAATGCCGTTTTACAAACAACGGTTACTAACCTTCGCCCCGATCTGGTTGCCGCACTGGCCAGCTTGCAGGTGCACAATCTCGCGCATTTTTGTGAGCAACTTAACTTAAAGTAATGCTTGGAATTAGTCAAAGTTGTTTGACCCTTCAGCGGCACCTCACAAATCTCTTGCACTGGCGGGCAGTGGGGAGCCCGCTACCTCCTTATATAAGGACCCCATCACCGGAATCCCCGCGACCCCATTGGTTAAAGAAAAACTACTGTGACGTGACGTCGATCGCCACGCTCCCATTGGGCGAGGCTCGCCGCGCTCGCCCTCCCACTCTGTGAAATCGAAAAACGCCCACGGGGCAAATATTTGCTCGCGTCCTAATGCGTGCGACACCCAACACCCATCAAATAAGTGCCCCAAGGGCGGTTAGACGATAACAAATGTCACTCGAGAGGCTCGTCCAGGGAGGGGGGATGTTTACGCGTTGCCTTGGTGAGCGTTGCTAGGGGATTAACGTTGGGGGGGGGGGCAGTGGGGGGGACGCCAAAAAATGAACTATATGCCGATTGCTGTTACCCCCTTCCCCTTATTGCCATGGCGACCGTTGCTAACAACCATGAGCCCGGAGGAACGCGGCTGCGGGGGAGGAGTAGGGGGGACGGTAACCATAGCGATGTGGGAATCCAGCGTCCGTAGCGACGTCGGTTGTCACGAATGTTCGGATGCTTGTTTAGAGACGAATTCACCATCGCCCGCATGAGGAAATTAATTGTGGCCCAGGTCGCTTCTGAAACAGAAGCTTAAATAGCTTCAGTGGGCTTAACCTGGTAAGATAAAAAAATGTTTAGATTTAATTGTACATATTTTGTTAAAGAATTTTTTTGCTGTGGTTTTCCCACCTGATTATGATTACTTGTGTTGCAATCGAAACGTGATTTAATTTATTTTATTTTATACCTACGTGACTTTACCGAAAGAACCAAAGAGTATGGATTCCTGCAGTCACGAAAGCTTCAAATCAAGTTTATAAATGTGTCGTTAAAACCCGCCACCACCCGACACAGCCAACTAGTAAGGGTTGTCACGTGAACAGAACGTGGCCAATTCGTAACTAATACAGCACTAGTTTGTAGTGTAGTGTATAGTGTAGTGTATAGTAGTGTATAATAGTGTATAGTGTAGTGTATAGTAGTATATATATAGTGTAGTGCATAGTCGTGTATAGTGTAGTGTATAGTAGTGTATAGTGTAGTGTATAGTAGTGTATAGTATAGTGTATAGTAGTGTATAATGTAGTGCATAGTGTAGTGTATAGTAGTGTATAGTGTAGTGTATAGTGAGTATACTAGTACAGCACACCGGTTGTGTGTTGGAGAGCCAAGCCACAACATTTACAATCTGAGTACGACGTTTCACCAGTAATTACAACTAGCTTCATCAGGCGACAGACATATTTGTGGAGAAGTCCACCTGTTTCGTTCCGTATATAGAGGCATAGTAGATGTGGGATCACGCAGCTGCGCTCTGGCGCAAAGTGTGGGGGGGGGGGGGATGAGTTGGCTGTGTCGGGTGGTGGCGACGACACATTTATATATTTAAGCGATCTAACTCAAAAGACTTCTGTTATGGATGATATTTGTCGTGAAAGCCTGCTGCGTGTTAATCTAATCATTACACTCGGCAGCAGCACCAGCCTGAGTCTATGCTCAGTCCACTGCTGATTTGACATCTCCCTGAGTCGTGTAATCCGCCCAGCAGCTGCTGCTGTCACCGTCTCTATGTATGCATGTGTGTTGAACTTCTTTCGCACCGTACGTAGCCAAACGCGCTAATCGAAGGTGCGAGGGAAGGACAACAAACGAAACAAACAACAGTTCTGAAGAAATTATTTTCAATTGAGTATAGTGGCGTAGTGTATAGTCATGTAGTGTATAGTGCAGTGTATAGCGTAGTATATAATGTATAGTGTTGTATATGTAGCGAATAGTGTAGTGTATAGCATAGCATATAATGTATAGTGTAATATGTGTAGTGTATTAAAGTATCATTTGTGTAAAGTGTATTAGTGTCGAGTGTAGCGTGTACATGAAACTTATTTCACACCGTACGTATCCAACCACGCTAAACGGATGTGTGCGGATGAAGCACAACAAACTAAACGCAAAAATCAGTTCTAAATAAATAAGCGTGTCAATCTAGATGATGATGTTTAACACATAGATGATGATGATTTAAAAGTGCATCATAGTGGCGTCCAAATATCGGAAGGGAAGAGCGTTTCAGACGGCCACAGAAGCGGCACATCTGAAAGCACCACTGCAGTGACCACCGTCTTTTTTTTACGATCAGAGGAAACAAGAAGATGCTCGGTGTAGTCGGCACTTTGCTTCGTTCATCATTTCGTTTTTTTGTTATAATGTTTTGCTTTCGTCTTTGTTCGATGGCTCGGATTGTAAAACACGCCGGGAAGTAAGACGCACCCACAGCATCTCGTCTCACACAGACACACGCACACACCGGATTATAAGATGCACCCCAAACCTGTATTTGTTAACGTTATTGGGTGCGGCTTATTATTCGATGTGTGTTAATCGCTCCTCCGATTAGCAAGGTTGGCTACGTGTGGTGCCGAAAGGTTGTTCAAAATAAGAATCAGTACTTATACTGCAGGAAGAATCCGATGAGGTATAAAGCTCTTTTTCACAGATGTCCAGTAGGGGCACGGGGTCAGAACGTGACAACAACAACAATACTATAGAAAAACAAATAAAACTAAACTATTATATTTCATCTTACCAGGTAAAGCCCCCTGAGATATTCGTGTCGTGGCCACTGGGCGGAACAACACAATTCCGCACTGACATCGTGGTGAAGTATGGTCAAATGACGTCCACGTTGGGAGGCCTTCATTCAGCAGTGCGATTGAGAATATCACCGCATTTTCATATGATCCAAATGACTGGACACGTTTCTCAATATTCCTTTGACAACAGAAAAAATATTTATGAATACAATACACCCCGGTTGCTATGCAAAGGCCAAGAGGCACAAAGAGGCCAAACGGGCAGCAACCCACAGCACGAATGTATTCCATTTGTAAAACATACTGAGAGAGGAATGTATGAAAGTTGTGTTACTTGAAAGTGTTTACACCCGTTCTCCAAGCAACGCTATCTCGAGGTCATAATGGATGATCGCAAACAGCAACATCACAACAGAAAGGTCTCGAAGACGATTACCCTTAAAGACCATGGGGTCAAAGTGCTGTAAGCAAGCACCTATCCATGGTGACCACGAGATGTTATCTACCTCGCCTGGTATGCAGCAGGTCGTGGATCCGATTCCGAGCCTGATGCCTGCTGCATATTTGGAGTTTGCGCCCCTCTCTCTCATCATCATCACGGCTAGGAGATGCTAACTACCTCACTTGGTATACAGGAAGTCGTGGGTTCGATCCCAACCCTGACGCCTGCTGTATATGTGTAGTTTCCGTCCCTCTCTCTCTCTCATCATCATCATGGTGGCTAGGAGATGTTAACTACCTCGCTTGGTATACAGGAGGTCGTGGGTTCGATCCCAACCCTGACGCCTGCTGTATATTTGGAGTTTGCGGTGTCTCCCCGTGGTCGCGTGGATTTTTCTCTGGGTCCTCCGGTTTAGAAACGTGTGTTGAGAGTACAGTATTTCGCTGCTATACATTTCCAAATGATAAGTCACTTCGTTGAGGTATCATTTGTGGCCAGGTCGCTTCTGAAAAAGAGCTATATATCTCAGTGGGCCTTACCTGGCAAAAGAAAAAAACAGTTTCGAAATAGTTTATTATTAAGGCAGAAAAGGTATGAGAGGGGGGCTGGGAGCGTCCGGCTACACGCACGGCCGCTTTTGTTGGCATGGTGATGTTTGCCAAATGCGTCAGCGAGCATTTAAGGCCGAGTAGACCAAGCAGAGGCTCAAGACTGCTTCAGATATCATTCACCACTGATGGCACCCGTGGCCGGGAATTGAACCCAATTTACCGGGTTGGTAGAGCAGAAATTACAAAGACACACGGATATGAACATAAACGCATACCGTACACACACAAAACAAATACAAAAAATTATCCCTAAAGGCTTAACAGACTGTTGGGGCACGTGTTGTTAGCGAGCACCTATGGCAGCCGGCACGGCACAAGATAAGGCTGGATGCTCAGCACCACGCTCGGCCGCCTTTGTCTACCCTGTGCTACACACCGCACCAGGTACTCATTTAAGGCTGAGTAAACCTTGGGAAGGCCCATGACAGGTTCAGACATTCGTCAGTAACATTGACCATTGGCGGGAATCGAACTTCGTCACACGGTGCGCTAACCACTGCGTCATCACTCCCCACGAACACATTTCAATACGCACACTCACTTTCACATGCAACAAAGACCAAAATCCTCCGTGTAACCTTTAACAGACTGTTGGGGCAAGTCCTGTTTGCTGATAACCCACGCCCTTGTGTGCCGTGTAGGCCTGAATAGGTGCTCGTTAATAGCAAACAAAGACAAAGTTCTTATCCATCAGATATTTTTTTGGGTTAAATCTCATAAATATAAATCTTGGGACATTTATTGTCAGTACCAAATTATAATAATTGGTTTTACCCTTTCTGGAAATAAAACAGGTGTTAAGATGTTAAAACACCAAACAAAAACCTTTTGCAAGGAACAACTGTTTGAGCCTAGGCTCTAATGAAAGCTCTCTCTGGTGTGAACCAATAAGTTTCAAAGACAATGCATATACTGTACTACAAGAGCATGTTTTGTTTGCATGTTTACCACAAGTATGTGTGGTTAATGCAGACATGATTCCTTGCGAAAGGTTTCTGTTTGGTATTTTAAAATCTTAACACCTGTTTTATTGCCAGAAAGGGTAAAAACAATTCGTATATTATAAATATAAATCTGTCGTTAAACCCGCCACCACCTCCCGACACAGCCAATTAACAAGGTTTGTCACGTAAACAAAACGTGCCAATTTGTTACTAGTTCAGCACTGACCGGTTGTATGTTGGAGAGTAAATTTACTACAACATTTACAATTCGAGTACCGTGACGTTTTTCCGGTAATAACAACCAGCATCATCAGGCGACTGCCACAATTGTGGCATGCTGAACTAGAAACGAATTGGCATGTTTCGTTTACGTGACAAACCTTCCTAAATGCCTGTGTCGGGCGCTGTCGGATTTAACGACACATTTGTGTTCTTGCAATCGAACCTAAAACACGGCTATGATGGATACTATTGATCGCGAAAGCCTGCTTGTTGAACAAAGATCTTACACACACACTCAACATCACACACTCAACAGAGCACTCAGAGCTGAATAGCTGAA